CCCCCCCCTCACCGGTGAAAAGATAACGCACCCGGCACCCGGAAGCGTTATCCTGGCACCAGGAGGGGGTACACCCTCCTGAAAGAATGAGGAAACGCATGCGGAGGAGTCAGAGAGCTTCAGTGGCCACGCGTCTTTCCAGTGCTCGACCCTCGCTGTTCGGTGCCGTAACCATGTACACCGATCCACTCCTACTCTGGCTCGGGGATTTATTTTGGTCCTGCCGGGTGCTAAGATAACGCCGCGGTGCGGGGCGGGGGCGATACCCTGGGATGGACCACCTCCTACGACGGCCGAAAAAATAATTTTTCCAAAGGGGTTGCAATAGAAATCTCATTAGAAAAATGGGGGCTGGAGGAAGAGAAGGAGGAGGAGGAGGAGGAGGAAGAGGAGGAGGAGGACACGGAGGAGGACGCGCTCACAGACAAGGCTCCCGCCTTGGACTTCCTCCATACTCAGGCCTTGGGGGTACTCTGCGAGGGTCACTGCGAGGGTCACAAGTTCTCCTTAGCTTTTCCTTAGTTGTCCTTAGCTTTTCCTTAGCTTTTCCTTAGTTTTCCTCAGCTTTTCTTAAGTTTTCCTTAGTTGTCCTTAGCTTTTCCCTAGCTTTTCAATAGTTTTCATTAGCTTTTCATTAGTTGTCCTTAGCTTTTCTCAGCTTTTCCTTAGCTTATCTTCGCTTTTCTCAGCTTTTCTTGATCTTTTCCTGAGCTTTTCTCAGCTTTTTCTTAGCTTGTCTTAGCCTTTCCTTAGCTTTCCTCAGCTTTTCTCAGCTTTTTCTTAGCTTTTCTAAGCTTTTCCTTAGCTTTTCTCAGTTTTTCCTTATTCGCATTCGTATCATTATTTTCATTACAATTCTAATTGGGATGCCACCCGAGGCGGGGCGCTGGAATTATTTATTTTCCTTCCATGTGCGCGGTGCTAATAATATCGCTCGGCGAACCCCCCCCCCCAATAATTATTTAATTACGGCGCGGTGCTAATGATAACGCCGGGGGGTTCCTTAATTGCTTCTCCGGGTTAGGTGTTGCTATTTTGTGTTGGTGTTGTTGTTGTTGCTGCTGTTGCTGCTGTTGATGTTGTTGCTGTTGCTGCCGTTGTTGTCTGTGTTGTTTGTGTTGTTGAATTCTTACACCTAAAGAATAACTGCTGTTGACCCCCCTGCCCAGGGGAGAGGTCAAGATCCCAGAGGGCCGACAAACACTCCCTAACAAAGCGACTCCGGGGCCTCCCAGAGATCCAATCCTCCAGAAAAATCGAGGCGGGTGGTTTCTGGCCGTTTTTCGGCCTCCAGGGGCCCTCGCAGGGCCTCGGGGCCGTTAAAAAACAACGACCCAGGGCGAAAAACCGAAAACCGGCCCTGGGGAAGTGGTCCACCCTGACTCCGGATCCGCCCTACTTTGGGGAAATTCGTAAGTAGGGCTTGGAATTTCCGCCTTACTTTTCAAGCCCCGCTGATGCCAATTTCCGCCCTACTTTTCTGTTGTTGTTTCCGCCCTTTTCTGTGGATTTTCGCCCCATGTTAGGTTGGGTGCAGAAACTTCCGCCCTACTTTTTCGGCTCCTTATAGGTGGATTTCCGACGCAATCTTAAGTTGGGAGAAAAAGCCAAAGTAGGGCGGATCTGGAGTCAGGGCAGACCTCGAGGGCCCACGCATGGAAACAAGCATGGCAGCCGCGTGCCCGCGGGCCGCCGAGCACCTCCTATAGAGAAGCAGGGTGTCGGGGGCCCCGAGGCTCGTAGCTTCGGGGGCCGAGCATCGGGGAGGCCCCGGCACGACCGTCGGCGTGCGGGGTGGCTCGGAGGGTCTGGGGGGGGAACGGGCGAGGAGCTGGCGAGGGCCTCCGAGGGCCCTCGGGGGGTCCTCCCCCCCGAGGGGCTGGCGAGGGCCACCGTCTCGACCGTCGGCGTGCGGGGTGGCCTTGGAGGGTCTGGGGGGGAACGGGCGAGGAGCTGGCGAGGGCCTCCCAGGGGCTGGCGAGGGCCACCCTCTCGAGGGCCCTCCGAGGGCGCGAGGCCGAGGGCCCTCGGGGGCGTCTTCCTCCCCAGGGGCAGGTGGGCGGCGACCCCCCTCTCGGCCCCGGTGGCAACGCACGGGGGGCAAAAACTCGGCATCGGCGCTGGTAGGTGTCCGCCGTCGGCGACCGCCCCACTCCCCACTCCGGCCCCAGTCCCGCTCAGTGCCGCGAGTCCAGCTTGACCCAGCCTGGGTGATCCGGTTTCTGCCCAGCCCGACTGCTCCTGCACAGTCGCGCTCAGGCTGAGGCTGGCCCTTCCTCGTGCCCCCCGAGGACCTCCCGGCAGAGTTGCCTCCTAACCTCCTGGTTACCACTCTCGGCACTGCCTTGGGGTGCACGGGCTCCGGCTGGCGCCGCGCGCGCGCGGGGGCCGTGTGGCCGCAGCCTCCGCACAGGGCGGCGGCTGTGCGCGGCGTGTTGCGGCTGCGGCGGTCCGCCGGGCGAGCAGGAGGCGTCGCGCACAGGGGCTCGGCAGCGCTCGGGCGTGTGCATTAAAAAAAAAATCGGCGGCAGCCATCGGGAAGCATCTTGGAGCATCTTTGCGAGAAGAATGCGCGCGCGAAGCCGAACGGTGCACGCGGAGTGGGCGTCCGAGCGGAGGGCGCGCAGGGGCAGTGGCCCGCGGCCTCCCCGGAGCGGGCGGGGGGCCTCTCCCGAGGAGGGCCCTTGGCGCTAGCCGGGGAGCCTTCCGGGACGCCCCGGGGGGGGGGGGGGGGGCTTCTGGGGAGCGCGGGCCGCCGCTCTCGCGCCTTCCCCCCCCCCCTCCCGTGTGCGCGCCGCCAGAAGGACGAGGGATAAGGAACCGCCGCGAGTCACCATCGTCGGGCCCCAGTGCCGACTGGGACAGGGTACGGTCGGGGCTGTCAGCCACGCGCAGGAGGGGGGTCAGGAAGCGCCCCTGCTTCTTGGAAGGCGTGGGCCTCGTCTGCAGATGTAGGGCCCCGCGCCTTCTAAGGAGCGGCCTCCTTCTGAGAAGCGATTGTCTTTAGGTGTTTTAAGGATTTGGGCTGTTCGGGGCGGTTCTGAGGGGTCCTTGAGGGCACCTGGAACTGTCCTGTGGCCCTCGTGGGGCCTCTTGGAGGCATGTCGGAAGCTGTCTTGAAGCATCTTCGGCTGTCTTGAGCCGTCTTGGAGGCCATCTTGGAGCATCGGAGGCCCTCTTGGAGCCATCTTGGGCCATCTTGGACGCACCAACCCCTCGCGGAACCCCCCGTCCAGGTCCAGGGGAGGGGGTAGGGGGAGGGGTAAACCTCTCCCCGAAGGGGAAGAAGGGGTTGTGGAAGAGGGACGAGGAATCTCGTTAGACCACCTGTCGCCCAGAGGGCTGGTGGGATTTCAATGCGTCCCCGGCCCACCCCCCCTGGGCCGCGCACATGCCGCCAGCCATGATTTGCGCCTCCCCCCCTCTTGGACGCCCTCCTCTTGGACGCCCCCGAAAAGAGCTCCCTTGCCCTCCAGGTCCCGAGCCACGGCGGCGCCGAGGTGGACGCGGCGGACAGCTCGGGGTTTTGCGCCCGCGTGCGCGGCGCGCACTTTACCGGCGGTGCCGGCGCGAGCATGTCAGGCCCAGCTCCGCCGTCCCCTCCCCTGCCCCGCTCGACTACGGTAGGTTCGCGTCGTGTCGACCAGCGGCGACCCCAGCGCGGGCGTTCAAGGTTGAACGCTGCCGCCGACCCCAAGTCGGTCGATGTGGAACGATCGGACGTTTGGTAAACTACCGATCGTTCAAGGTCGAACGCTTCCCGCGCTGTCAGAAACCAGCGCCTGGGTCGACAAGACACGCACCCGCGGTACACGTTGGCACGGGCCCATTTGGCCCCCCCGGTCGCGGAATGCGATGCGATGGGAGCGGCCTGCGCGCTTGGGTTTGGCCTCCTCACACCCCCCCAGCGCCGCGCTCCGAAGGTCACTCTTGCCTAGAGCCACCGTCGATCTGTTTCTCGATCTCGGCGTGAGGGGTCGTCGTCCTCGGCGTCCTCTTCCTCGTCGTCCTCGTTCTCGTCCTCGTCGCCGTCGTCCTCGTCGTCGTCGTGTCGTCGTCGTCGTTGTCGTCGCCGTCGTCGTCGTCGTCGTCGATCTGTCTTTTTCCTCGACCTCGGCCCTCGGGGGCTGTTGCCGTGCCCCAGGACCATCGCACGTGGATCTGGCAGATCTCTGGGCCGTGGACTGAAAAGATCACCTGTTGCTTGTGCGCGTGGCCCAGCGCGCACCAGGAAGCTGGATTTAAGTCGGGCCTGTCCCTCTACAGAGGGAATATTCAAAAATAGTCAGAAAATTGTCAGGGGACGATTTTTTGTTTTTATTATTTTTGACAATTTTGGAGTATTTTGGGTGTATTTTTCATTTCGTCCAAAATCCCCCTGTAGGTGGACAGGCCCGACTTAAAGCTGGGTGCGCACGACGTCCAGCGCTCGGCCCCTCCGTGCGCGTGTCCATCCAGCGCACGGTCTGCAGATTTCTGCCGCACGTGGTCCGACCAGTTTAGTGTTCCACACGTTTTTGAATCCCTAGTTGTCGCTTCCCTGCCGTCCATCCATGGCTGTTTGCTCAAAGTCTTTTTCCAGGGCATGAAGGAAGCCCTGCGGCCCCTCGTCGAGGCCAGCGCCTCGGGGATCCGTGAGCTTGCCCGCGCGGGGTTCCACGCGGGGGCGTCCTGGGCGTTGCTGCCCAGTTGCCCGGCGGCGCCGCCCTGCCCGCCATATCCGCCTTGCCCCGCGTGCTTCTGCACGTGTGGGGAGGGAGGCGGAGGCGGCGGCGCCCCTGCGGGCGGCGGCGGCGGAGGAGGCAGCCCTCCCTGGCTGGCGGCCGCGGGCGGCCCGGTGTGCGACGCGCTCGCCGACGCTCTCGCCGGGTCGCTGCGGGAGGCGGTGGAGGGCTGTGTCGGCTGGGGAGCCACGATAGCACTGGTGCTACTTGCGCTGCTTGCGGGGTTCGGTCTTGGACGCCTCAGCCTCGCCGCTTCGGTCCGCCTTGAGCCTCGCGATGGCGCTGGTGCCCAGGGGATCGTCGTGTCGGCTTCTCCCGGGGTGCAGAGCAGTGGTGCGCTACGGCGGGGACGACCTCTGGCACGAGCGGATCCTGCTGTACCCAGCGGCCAGTGAGGCCTCAGGCGCGGGGCTCCCAGGAGTGTGCTGGGTGGTGTACACTCCCGATCACGATATGTACATCGAGGAGCTTGAGGGAGGCTCGCCCGACGACAGTCCCGTGGAGTGGCTGGAGATGCCGCGCGACCTGCGGCTGCCCAGTGGGCTTGGACGGGCGTATCGCTTCGAGGAGGTCCCGACGGAGGAGGTTATGAAGGGCCTCTACCGCCGGGCCTACTCGGCCGCCCAGGCCGACGCCGAGGCGCGCGGGGTGCTCCTGGAGACGCCGGTGGCGGTGCGAACGGCCGCAGGCAGGGATGTGGCAGTGCAGGAGGCCCTCGGGGCCAACTTCTTCGGCGGTCGACGGATGACAGGCAAGAGGCCGCTTCTGGGTCTGGACCTCGGAGGAGACCACAGAGGCCCCTCTGGACCGGCAGCGGCGGCCGCGGAGGGCGTTGGCGACACCGGCGCCCCGGGGGCCGCGGTTGAGGGCACTAGCACGCCACGCTCGAGCGGCCGCGTTTGGCGAGCAGCCGAGGCTGACGAGCGCTGCCGCATCGCGCTGGGCGACGAGTTGGGGCCTCCTGCTCACTCGCTCTGTGGCAAGGGGTTGTTCCTGGCGGCTCCTGGGCGGGCCGTGGTGGTGCACCTGACAGGCCTCGACCAGGACTCCTTCGTGATGAGCCTACGGGTTGGCGAAGGGCAACCATTGAGAGCTGGCGCCGAGAGCGGAGGAGGAGGAGACGCTCGAACCTTGGCGGTGAAGAATGGGCCGCGGGGCCGAGGCCGAGAGTGGCGTGAGGTCGTGGACGCCTGTGAGGAGGAGCCGTTCGGCGACTTCCCAGTGGCGGGGCCTCGCTCTGCTTGGTGGTGCCTGGACTTCTTGCGGCGTCGGCACACCCCCACGGATCACCACCTGATGTTCAAGACGACCGCGCGGCTCCAGTCGGAGCAGTGGGGGGTGCAGGAGCACGAGCAGCTCATGAAGTACATCGAGCTGGCTGGCACCTACGACCAGCTGGACCTCAGCAACTGTGCCTTCGCCGAGGCCATCTTTCGGCGGGCGCAGACTATCGAGTGGAGCTACCACGATCGGTTGCGGGAGGCCGACTCAGCCAGCTCCAAGGACAAGATGAGTCCTGAGGAGTTCTCGGCCTTCAGCGGCTTCAGCAAGGCGGGGGACCTGCTGATGGTGGCCCCCGCGCTCCTCGAGTTTGTGAAGGGCCAGGTCGAGAAGGATGCCGCGATCATGAAAAACATCAGGAAGGCTAGAGAAGAACGAGAGCTCCGCCGCAAGGGTCCCAAGGGGGATGGCGGCGGAGGGAAGTCATGACGGTGTCGCGGGAAGGGGGCCTGAGTGCGGCCGCCTCCTTCTCGAGCTCCAAGGCCGCCGAGCCCCAGGGCTCTCCTGCATGCGTACCTGGGCGAATTCAATTTGACGGAGTTCCAGACCGTCGAGATCTTTTTCCTGTCCCGTTGCTTCGGGCCGGCCTAGCTCCCGCGGAGGGCGCGGTGAACCGCTCGGCACGGCGGCGGCTGCTTCGGCGAGACGCTCATGTGGCTGAAGCCAACCGCGCCCTCGGGGCCCTCAATGACCTGGCTGGTCGGCTCGGGGCGCCTGGCGCTCCGGGCCTGGCGGAGCGGCTGCCCCATCGCCTGGTACATGAGCGTGTTCGTCATGCTGCTGCTGCGCTGGGTCCCCCGCCACCTGGCCTCACTCCCGCCGGAGCCCTGCGCGAGCTCCGCGGTGCTGGCGTGTACGAGGATATCGACTCGCCAGTCGTTAGCTTCGACGACTCCCTCGTCTCGCTGCCTGAGGCCGGCAACGTTCCTGTGCCGCTCGGGGAGCTGGTGGCAGGCGTGGGCGATATTGATGTCGAAGCAGCAATACACGAGCAGCTCCTTCCACGCAAGGATGCGGAGTCCAACCTCTCCGAGGCTCCGCGGCAGCCGTACATGGATGCTATTCTACGAGCTCAGCCACGTGCTTATGCTGGGCTGGTGCGGCGTTTGCGCACGGCGGGAATGGTGACCTTCTCAGCCGCGCCGCGAGAGAAGTGCGGCCTCTTCTTTGCGCGTAAGAAGTCTGGCAAGCAGCGCATGGTGATAGACTGCCGGCGGGCCAACTGCTGGTTCAGGAGGCCTTCGACAGTCGCGCTGGCGACAGGCTCAGCACTGGGAGAGCTGGCCGTGCCGGAGGGCGAGCAGCTATACGTCGGCCACGTGGACATCTGCGACGCCTTCTACCACTTCGGGCTGCCTGAGGCTTTCCGTGAGTACTTCGCGCTGCCGGCGGTGAAGGCAGGTGATGTGGGGCTGACTGTCCTAGGCGGAAGGTCTCTCGCGCCTGGCAGTCGTGTGTGGCCAGTCCTTGCGGTGTTACCCATGGGCTGGTCGCATGCGCTGTACTGGTGCCAGACCATTCACCGCGGGATCGTGAGCTCCATCCCCGCGCTGCACGACGTTCCGTTCATCTCGGACAAGAGTGTAGTGCCGCCAGTGCAGCCGCTGGCGATGACTATCTATGTGGATAATTTTCTTGCCTTGGGTACGGATCCCGAGGCCGTCTCGCGCGCAGTAAAGCTTGTCAACGCCGCCTTGACGTCCAGGGGTTTACCCACCCATGAAGTATGTATGTGTGATCACGATGCCGACATCCTGGGGTGGGAGATTCGAGGGCGAGAGAGAGAGATTCGACCTAAGAGGTCAAGGCTGTGGAGACGGCGCTCGATTGGTTGACAAGCAAGGCCGTCGTGAGTCCCAAAGAAGTTGAGAGGGTGTTAGGCCATTGTACTTTTGTGGCACTTCTTTGTCGTGAGCATTTGTCGATCTTCAGGTCCGTCTATACTTTCATTCGGCGGCTGGGCCACTGTGCCGCGGTCCCTCTGTGGGAGTCCGTCCGATGGGAGCTCAGTACGTTCTCGAGTTTGCTGTGTCTGATTTCCAGGAAGCTGCAGGTGTCATGGAGTTCCAAGGTGATGTGCACCGACGCGTCCTTTTGGGGCTTCGGACTGGTCTGCAAGGACCTCGACAAGGACCTCGTGGGCTCGATGGGCTGTTTCTCAGAACGATGGCGTTTCTTGGGCGACAACAAGGTGCTCTCCCGGGCCTGGGCTGCAGGCTCCAGTGAGGACGAGATCATCACGAAGCCCCTAGAGAGCTCCAAGGACTTCCAGAAGTTCGTGGGGGATGAGGAGGCTAGCAAGGAGGCCCGCACGCGGGCCGCTGGACGTCTTCCCGAGGCGGTTCGAGAGGAAGGTTGGGCTGTCGTAGGGTCGCACAAGTGGGGATCCCCGCCTGACAACGTCGTGGAGGGGGAGGCCCGGGCCATCGCGTTCGGGGTTAAGCACATCTGCAGATCCACGAAGGCCTTTGAGAGCCACCACCTCCTGCTCTCCGACTCGCTCTCGTCTGTCTTGGCTCTGGGCAAGGGCCGATCCTCGGCCCCCGGCGTCAGCGGCGCCCTGCGCTCTGTGGCAGCTCATGTTGCGGCGACGGGACTCCGGCTCAGTGCCCGCTGGCTGCCTAGCGAGTGGAACTTCGCCGACGGTCCTTCGCGAGGGCTGCGGCACGCTGGATGCGCTCGTGGTGGAGTCGGCCAGGCTGGAGCGTCGCCAGGCGACGGCCCCGGAGGGAGAGGCCCGCTCGGTCCCGAGGACCCGCCCGGTGCCGCCAAGCCGGGCGACGTCAGCGCCCTCGCTTCGGAGGCTTCTCTGCGATGACCTGGCTGGCTCGCCACCGCTCTCCGAGGCGCGGGCTCCGCCTGCGGCCGACAAGGTGAAGCGGGGGAAGCTGGCCCGGCGCGGGGCCAAGCTGGCCGACGCGGGGACGCTGGACGTGCTGCGGCTGAGCACGGTGCGGACACAGACAGTGAGGTCGAGGTACCAGCAGCTGGCCGCCGAGTTCGACGCATGGCTGGCGGAGCAGGGGCTGCCTGCGCGGCCAACGTTCTCCCTCGACGAGCGGAGGATGATCCCGCTGGCGCCCGAGGCCGCTGCCACGCTGGACTGCAGCCTTGCGGAGTGGATGCTGGGGCAGTACCTGGAGGGCGTCGACCACTGGCGCGGGGTGCAGATGCTGGCCGCCCTTCAGTGGAGCGACCCGCGTCTCGGCCGCGACGGCGGAGCTCGCTTGCCCGGGGCCAGGCAGTCGCTCCGAGGCTGGAAGGTGCTGACGCCGCCGTTGACCAGGCTGCCGCTCCCCGAGGAGGTCGTTGCCGCCCTAGCTTGCGAGCTGGTGTGCGTGGGCCTGTGGGAGGCGGCGGCGTGCGTGGTCCTGTCGATGGTGTTCTACATGCGACCGGGGGAATGGGGCCGCGTGCAAGTCAAGCACGCGATCGCGCCCCGCGCTTCGGGAAGCCAGGCCCTGCGGCAGTGGGCCCTAGTGCTGCATCCGCACGACGGCGAGGAGGCGCGGCCCAGCAAGACGGCGGAGTTCGACGAGAGTCTCGTGCTGGACCTCACCTGCGACCTGTGGCTGGGCGGCGTGCTGCGGAGACTGACCGCTGCGAAGCCGCCGGACGCTGCGCTGTTCAGCTTCTCAGTAGAGGAATTCGCCGAGATTTTCAGACGCGCGGCCCGCCGTCTCGGCCTGGAGCCCGTGCCGATGCCTTACCTTCTCAGGCACGCCGGCGCCGGCCGAGACTTCGTCAACGGACTCAGGCCGCTGAGCGAAGTGAAACGGCGGGGTCGCTGGAAGACAGGCGCCTCCGTGCGGAGGTACGAGAAGGGAGGAAGGCTGAGCGAGCAGTTTGCGAAACTGCCCCCAGCCCTGCAGAAGCACGCGCTCCGCTGCCACAGCGTGCTCCCCGAGGTTCTCTTAGGGAGGCTCGCTGCCCCGCCGTTCCTGGGCCGCCAGCTGTGAGAGTTTTTCTAGAAATCTTCTCAGGCTCTGGACGCCTCGCGCGAGCGATGGCGCGGAAGGGGTATCATGTGCTCGCGTGGGATATCAAGCACGGCCCTTTGTTTGATTTGCGGGACGTTTCGCGACAACGTTTGATTCGGGGCTGGATTCAAGCCGGCCTCATCTTAGGTGTGCATCTTGGAACGCCGTGTGGCAGCTGGTCGCGCGCCAGAGATATCCAGCCTGGTCCTCCCCGCCTCCGCTCCGACAAAAGTGTGTTAGGCCTGCCCGATTTGATACCGTCGGCGCAGGCCGCAGTAGACTTTGGAAATCAGATGATGCGCTTCAGTGTTTCTGTTCTAACGGTGGCCCGCCGCATGCAGGTGCCGTGTTCAATGGAGAACCCGTCTACCTCTCGACTGTGGCTCGCGCCGCCTGTCGATTCGCTTGTCAAATCCACACGTTGGTCTTTCGTCAGCACAGACTTCTGCCAATGGGGAACTCCTTGGCGGAAGCGCACCAGCTTTTTAGGAACGTACATTCATTTGACCCTCTTGGTGAAGCTGTGTAAGCGCACTCAAGGCTGCTGCAGTCGAACTGGACAGCCCCACCAAGTGTTGGAGGGGCGTGCGCCCGACCGTCGGTTCTGGACAGCCGTCGCCGAAGCCTATCCTTCTCGTCTGTGTCAGCAGTTAGCCCGCGCTTTTGATGATGCCATCGTGTGCCGTAAAGTCTCAGGCATAGCTTCAAAATTGTCAATGTAGCTTTCAGTAAGTTAATGATGACGGCCTTGGGGCCATTCGACTTCGTGTTTTTGGCACTGTCCTTTTTGGCGTGTGCTGACCTCGAGGTGCAGGCTTCTGTCGTACGCGTCGCTGGTGGCGAGCTCTCTTCCAGAAAAATCGGCGTGCCTTGATTCTCGAGGCGCTCCGCGCATGGCAGGTCCAGACAGCTGGGGATACAGTTTAGTGTTCCACACGTTTTCGAATCCCTAGTTGTCGCTTCCCTGCCGTCCATCCATGGCTGTTTGCTCAAAGTCTCCCTCCCTCCCTCCCTTTTTCTTAATATTCTTCTGTCCGCATTTCCTGACCAGCCGTTGGCGTGTGCTGACCTCGAGGTGCAGGCTTCTGTCGTACGCGTCGCTGGTGGCGAGCTCTCTTCCAGAAAAATCGGCGTGCCTTGATTCTCGAGGCGCTCCGCGCATGGCAGGTCCAGACAGCTGGGGATACACGTGTGTGTTTTCAGTTTCGTGGCACGTCCTCCTTGAGCTCCCACCCCCTTCCCCTGGGACCCCCTTGCTCCATCCTTTCCCGCCCCCCCCCCATCCCCCCCCAGGAAGGATCGCGGCCCCGGAGAAAAGAAAAGGGGACGCACGCGCAACGCGGTGGCCCCGTACTAGAACACGCAACGACCCGACGGAGCAGCACCTGGCAGGACGGAAAGACTGAGGTACGAGCGATGGCTCTGTGATTTTCTCGGTGGGGCGAAGCCTTCTAGGAAGGGCCGTGGCCCCGGAGAAGGGAAAAGGGGGCGCACGCGCAACGCTCTTCTGCCGGAGGGGGCGGTGGCCCCGTACGAGAACAGGCAACGACCCGACGGAGCAGCACCTGGCCGGAGGTACGAGCGATGGCTCTGTGATTTTCTCGGTGGGGCGAAGCCTTCTCGGGTCAAGTCGGGCCTGTCCCTCTACAGGGGGAATGCCCAAAAATAGTCCAAACATAGTCTGGAGATTTTTTATAGTATTTTTTGACTTTTGGGGGGCATTTTTTATTGAATCGCTTCGCTCATTCCGCCAGCCCTCGAGCGCTCTATGGGGCCTCTTTGAAGCCTCTTGGGGGCCTCTTTGGGGCCTCCTAGGGGCCTCTTGGGGGCCTCTTGGGGGTCTCTTGGGGCTCTTTGGCGGCGTCTTGGGGCCCCCTTGGGCCTCTTGGGGGGCTCTTGGGGGCCTCTTGGGGCGGGGTAGTCGAGTGCACCCCCCTCGGAGGCCACGATCTTCGTGAGGGGTGTCGAAAAAAGGCCCTCAAAACCATCTCTGGGTAGACTTGCGTCGGAAATCCCCCTGTAGGGGGACACGCCCGACCTGATTCTAGGGTGGGTCCTCCAGGGGAGAGGGGCACGCACGCACGGGGGCGGCGACCCCCCCCCCGCCCTCCTCAAGAGAGACTGTGCCCGGGAGCCCCCCCTTCCGAAGAGCGCGGCCGAGAGGGGCCCCCTAAGACCTCCCAGGAGAGAGGCCTCGGGAAAAAATTGCGAACACTCATGCCTCATTCATCTGTGAACGCCTCCCCCTCCTCAAAAGATTGTGCCCGGGAGCCCCCCCCGAGAAGCCGCCGAGGGGCCCCCCCAAAGACCTCCCGGGAGAGAGGCCTCGGAACAAAAACAGCGAACACTCCTGCCACACTCCTCTGTGAACGCCTCCCCCTCCCCCCAGTGTGCAGAGTGGGCGGTGGGTCTGAGGAGTTGCACCTCGACCGCGGTCCCCCCCGCGCGTGCCAGCCTTGAGTTTGGGGGGCAGGGGGGGTGTTCACGAAAATGTTCCCCTCTACCGGCGGTCCAAGACGGACGGCTCCGAGACGGCCGAAGAGCGCTCCCAGAGAGCCCAAGTCCGCCCACGAGTGTTCCAACATGGCCTCAGATGGCCCCGAGACGGTCCAAGAGGACCCCATCACGGCCAGAGAGGCCCTCAAGAGGACCTTCCAGAGGGGACGGAGCCGGAGTCGGAGTCGGAAAAGCCTGGGCAACTGGGGAGTCTTCCGCTCGAGAGGTGCGTTCGTCTATCGCATGTCTTGCGAGCCCAGCAGCAGCTGGCGGCATGATCGGCACAGCAGGGGTCGGCCTGCGGGCCCCCCCTTGGCTTTTGGTGAAGCCTTGCGGGCCCGCTGCAGCTCGGTGCTGGGCCTCTTCCAGACCAGAAGCGTTGCGGAACGGACGGAGGCTTATGGTACTGTGGCCCATCTTCCCCCTCCTCCTCCTCCTCCTCCTCCTCCTCCTTCCTCCTCCTCTCCTCCTCCTCCTCCTCCTCCTCCTCCCCCTCCTCCCCCCTCCCCCCCCCCTCTCCCTCCTCCTCCCTCCTCCTCCTCCTCCTCCCCCTCCCCCTCCTCCCCTCCTCCCCCTCCCCCTCCCCCTCCTCCTCCTCCCTCCTCCCCTCCTCCTCCTCCTCCTCCTCCTCCTCCTCCTCCTCCTCCTCCTCCTCCTCCTCCCCCCTCCTCCTCCCCCTCCTCCTCCTCCTCCCCCTCCTCCCCCGCAGCCAGAGGAGCCTGCAAGGGCTCCCGCCCAGGAGCCAGCGGCAGCAGCTGTGGCCCATCACCTCCGCTCGGGGAAGGGAGACGGACCCTGGTTCAAAGAAGCGCCGAGCTTCTTTGCAGGACCGTCGAGTGTACAGTGGGGACGCGCAGCAAGAAACCATCTGCACTTCGTCAGGGTACCCTGGGTTTCTTCATTCCGCTCGCTGCGCGGTGGCTTCCGCGGCTGTCAGAGAAGCTGCTGCGTTCAGGGTGCTCCGGGTTTCCCCGTGGTTCCCCTCAGGTGCACCTTGCGCGCGGGTTGTTCAGGGTCGGGTTTCTTGCGAGGGTTGCCTGCGGTCGCGCCCGATCTGCATTTGGCAGTTCGCAGACTCACTTAACTCCTCGCATCCCCACTCCCCACATTCCCCCCTTCCGTCCCAAGATCTTTCCCTACTGCTCGGGCAAGTCCACAAGCAGCACACACTGTCCTTGGCATCGCTCGGACGTGTGCATTTTTCCTTTGGCAAGGACCATCGAGGAGCATCCTTGATCATTTAGCGAAAACCACGCACGAAACCGAAAAAAACACAGGGAATGGACGTCCAAGCGATGGCGAGTGTCTCACTACTCTCGTCGCGTGCAAGAGTCTCCTGGACGTCCAGCGCGGGATGCGGCGAGGGCGGCAGGGCGCGTCCCGAGGCGGAAGTCCTCCTCCACACAGGGCTCCCTGCCTGGCACTCCGTGTCGCACAAGAGCTACGTGCAAATCCTTGCGATAGCCCATTCCGCCTGGCCGCCTGGCCCATTAGAGGCTACACGAGAAGAACTGTTAACGCGAACTGCCACATCCAGATTATGCATGTGTACAACATGTTTGCATGGACGGGCTGCTCACGGTCTTCGCCTCAATCCCTCGAGCATATCACGGGCTCTCTTGCTTCCACGTGTGGCCATTTCTTGCAATCCAGAAAGGCCGATCGTCACTTTGCTTGCCTCGCGCGCAGTGCCGGCCGCAGCTGCCTCTCCAGTGCCGACGGTGGCGGGGCTCCGTATAGATGCTCCGTTCTGAGCTGTTTGAGTGATCGGCATGTCGCCCTCCGCAGTTCCTGCACCGTGCAGCTGCCCATCTTGATATGCTCCTCTGCGTTGCCCTGCCGAATCGTGTTCAGCTCGTCCTCCCACTTCTTGGTCCACGGCGTGGCGCTCATGGGGTTGAAGCACGGTGCGTTTTCCATTGTGTCGGCTGTTCTGTCTCGCTATAGGCCTCCTTTGCCCGGAAGGATGCGAGTATGTCCGTAAACTCGTTCATCGACATGCACTCGATGAGTTAGCTGAATTGTGCCAGTCTCTTTTTGGTGCCGCCCTCGAGATTATCCTGTTTGGCTGGCGACATGAAGCGCCCCACTCCTATGTGTAGATGCGGTGATCCCATCGCCTCGCTGCCCTTTGACTTGACCTCCTCCCCGTAGGTTACACCTCCTGCTGCCGCGGCCTCTGCTGGTGGGGGCTCGTTCTCTGCCAGGCAGAAGTCCCACAGGCTGCCTGACACCGTGCGCACCATCTGTGCCGTGTTCAGGGTGAGCTTTTGCATGAGTATCGTTTGTTCGTATCTTGAACGTTCTGCGGGGCCACGCGAGTTGCCACCTGCGTTATCCTGGCCTCCAAGTTTGTGCTTTGTTTGGAATGCTTGTCCCGCCGACGCTGCTTCCAGTCTCGCACTACGTGGACGTCCTCCTTTGGCGGCGCCTGCTCCCCATGCCATCGATCGGTCCTGGAGCGTGGATAGTTACGTGTAGCA